AGATGAATGGGACCTTCTAAAAATTAAATATTTATGTGCTTCCAAAGACTTCTCCAAAAGAGTCAAAAGAGAACCTACAGATTGGGAAAAAATATGACAGATGCTGAAAAAATTCAGCAATGACATATCTGTCAAGGGACTTATCTCTAGAATTTATAGAAAACTCTAAAATCTCAATAACAAAAAGACAAATAACCCAGTTTTAAAATGGGCAGGAATTGTGGTAAACTGTAGTCAATGTCATGAGACAAAGTGTATGTGAACTGCTGTATGGAAAGTGAATTTTCTCTGTAAATTTTCACCCAAATCACAATTAAAAAAAATAAAGAGAGAGAGAGAGAAAAAAAGTTGGGATTTGTGAGGACATACAGCCTCATGAGATATGAATATATGCTGCCATGTTAGTGCTTTCCAGTCAATATTAAATGGGTATATAACTATAAACAAAAAAAAAATGGGCAGAAGATATGCATAGACACTTTACCAAGGAGGGTAACCAGGAAGCCAACAAACATATGAAGAAATGCATGACCATTAGCCATTAGAGAGATGCAAATCAAAACAACAATGAGATACTACTATCTTGCCACAGCACTAGTAGCAAAGTTCAGCAAGACAGAAAATAACAAATGCTGGCGAGGATGCGGAGAGATTAGGACTCTCATACACTGCTGATGGGACTATAAAATGATACCACGGTGGAAAGCAGTATGGTGATTCCTTAAAAAGTTAGAATTAGTAATACCATTTGACCCAGCCATTCCATTACTAGGTATATATCCTAAAGAAGTGAGAGCCAGGACAAGAGCAGATACATGCACACTCATGTTCATCGCAGCACTATTTACAATAGCCAAAAGATGGAAACAACCTAGGTGTCCATCATCTGAAGAATGGATAATAAAACTATGGTACATACACACAATGGAATACTATGCAACCCTCAAGAATAACCTGGAATCTGCCAAATACTGCATAACGTGGGCGAACTTGGAGGACATGATGCTGAGTGAAATAAGTCAATCACAGAAGGGCAAATATTGTATTAGTCCGTTATTGTAAAAACTCAAGGAAAGGTTTATATATGGAAGGAAATTTTCTTTGTTGGTTACCAGGGGTGGGAGAGGAGGTGAGGGAACACTGTTAGATAGGTAGAGACAATTATTGATTTGGGTGAAGAGAAGGGTAAAAAAAAAATTAAGTTGATTACAAAAGAATCCTGTCTTAATATTTATTTCTTTGATTATTAGCAGAGTTGAACATCTTTTCATGCTAATGACCCATATGCATTTTCCATTTTTATGAACTATTCCTATTTTTACTGGAATGGTGATGCTGTTTTAAAAAAATCAACCTGTATGAATTCTTTATATTTAGGAGTATCAACAAGAAAAAGAAATTCTTTACGAAAACCTTCATATCAGATCTTCTTTAAATACCAAGTTTCCTGATTCATTTAAAATGGGTTTCAATTTATAAAAATCCTATCTACATACAGCTTTTTACCATATGAAGCAAGTGAGAGCTCTCCAATCTTTGCCCACAGATTTGGGTAGTAAGAAAGCAATGTGCTAAGACACACTCCATGGTGTATATAAAGAATGTCAGACATATGCCTGTCGACAATATAACGGATTTCACACATATGGCTCTAATAGGCATGTTTATTGCCTGTTTCTGATCCCTCCCAGGGCTTAGCACACAGTAGGCAATGAATACTAAGCCCCATGTACACAGATGGAAGCACAGAACACACACCTCCATCCTTAGTAGTAGCAGAGTAGCAGTAGTAGCAGAGAGAGAATAAACAAGAGTTCTCATTCTAGTGATATGCAGCCATACAAAGTTGCTCCACCTACTTTGTCATCTATAAAATGGGGATAATACCTATCTCGTGGGGTAGTTATGAGTCTTAAATGAGAGAAAGGGAAAGAGCTTAGCACGGTGCCTAGAATATAGTAGAAACTCGATAAATGCTAGCAACTTTCTTTTTCTAGAGCATATTGCTTCCCAGATAGCCCTTCCTTCCCTGATGCTGCCCTCCAGTGGACTAGGTTCTCCTCCCCCTCTGTAAGGTGGGCCCCGCTCGAAACAGATGCAGCAGAAGAAAATCTAGATTTGCAGAACAGGCTGATTAAATAAGTATATTTCCTCATTTACCAAAGAGGTTTTTTTTATTTTAGACTCCAAATAAAACCCACTGCTGTCAACTCAATACTGACTCATAGCAACCCTATAAGACCCAATAGTGTTTCCAAGGCTGTAAATCTTTATGGAAGCAGACTGTCATATCTTTCTCTGGCAAAACGGCTGGTAGGTTTGAACTGTCAACCTTTTGGTTAGTGTCAAGTGCTTAGCCATTGCACCACCAGGGCTCCCTTATTTTAGATTCAAACCAAAACAAACTCAGTATCATCGAGTCAATTCCAACTCCCAGTGACCCTCATTGGGTTTCCGAGGCTATAAATCTTTACGGAAGTAGATTGCCTTATCTTCCTTCTGTGGAGCAGCTGATGGGTTTGAACCACTGATCTTCTGGTTAGCAAAATGCCTTATCTACTACACCACTGTTGTTGTTGTTGTTGCTATTTGCCGTTGAGTCGGACCTGACTCATAGCAACCCCTCCTTGGGTTTCCAAGGCAGTATCACTACGGAAATAGATTGCCCAACTTCCTTCTGAGGAGTGGCTGGTGAGTTTGAACCGCTAGCCTTCTGGTTAGCAGTCAAGTGCCTTAGGCACTCTGCTAAGAACTTTGTACCCTGTATTTTTCACTGAACCTTTTCCCATGGTTATTAGGGTTTTCTTCCCCCCCCAAAACATCCTTACTAGTGATATAATACTCCAGCCTATGGATGTACTGTGATTTACTTAACCTCCCACTATGCCACTAGAGCTCCTTTATTTTAGTCTAGAGCATATTTTATTTATAATTTGATCTACACAATTGATTCACAGTTGTTCTAGGAGCTTGTTTCTTATCTAAAGTGAACTGTAATCTATCTTCTCACTCCCACTGTTTTTTCCCAAGAACTGGTAACTACCCTGGCCTTTGTCTTCAGTTCAGTCCCCCCCACCCACCCAGGCAAAGTTCCCTTGGTTTTACTCACCCACACAGTTATCACAGATGCTGCAATGGGAGGCCCGGGGAGGCCGGAAGATCTTACACGTATAACAGTATTTCAGTTTCACAATCTGGTTGTTTATCTGGAAATTCTTAATACGAGGAGGTGGTCGCTGACCCTGAGGTACTGCACCATTGGCAGCTTCTGTAAATCAGTAAAGACAGTTAAAATCACAGCTGACCATTATTTGAGCCCAAAAGGAATGGTAGTCATCTAAGATACCCTGGGCCCACTGCCTTCTTCAGACTAGTATTTCCAGACCAGACTTTCCACTCACAGTGTATGCCCCTAAATTCCACTGAATGTCATGTGATTCTTTTGTGTACATGTGAAAAAGTGTTCAAGTTATTTGTCTGATTACAGAGAGCAACATTCATAAAACAAGAAATAAAAATGGCTAAAATACATAGGAAATGAAAACATCCAACTTCACTAATAATCAAAGATATAAAATTTAAAACACAAAGATACCACTTCCACCTATTATATGAACAAATATATAAACAAATAAAAAATACCCAGTATTGGCAAGAGTTTGGGGAAAAGGCCATTCTTGCACATCACCATGAGCAATATGGCAGTGGCTATTAAGGAGCTCTGGTAGCATAATGGCTAAGGCACTTGACTGCTAACCAGAAGGCTGGCGGTTCAAACCCACCAGCCACTCCTCGGAAGGAAGGTTGGGCAATCCTACTTCCGTAGTGATACTGCCTCGGAAACCCAAGGAGGGGTCGCTATGAGTCAGGGCTGACTCGACGGCACATAACAACAACAACAACAACATCAAAATTTTAAGTGTGTATATTCTCTGACTTTCTAGGAACTTATCAAAATCACAAAGAGATGTACCAAGATGTTTCTACAAGGATGTTTGTCATAGTCACTTTTAATAATGAAAAACTGAAAATATCTCCAATGTTAATTAAGGTTAAGTTAGTTAACAGGAGGTAGGTTAAGTAAATTATGGTACTTACATAGAATGGAATATTATGTAACCATTTAAAATGATGTATATGAGTGGTGACAGGAAAATAATCACAATATATTGCAAAATGAAGGTGTAAGCTAAAACAAATGTATAAAAATCTACTAATGTGCAAGAATAAAATACATGCACAGAAAAAAGACTAGTGAAGATTACAATTAGAAAAAAATCTTTAAAAATTAATTTTTTAAAAATAAAGTAATATATGCTTATTGCAGAAAACTTGGAGAAAAAGCTAGGAAATATAAAGAAACATAAAAATTACCAATAGTCTCTCAACTCAGAGATAGCTATGTTGTTGTTGTTGTTGTTGTTGTTATTGTTGTTGTTATGTGCCGTCGAGTCGGTCCCAACTCATAGAGACCCCTCCTTGGGTTTCCAAGGCAGTATCACTACGGAAGTAGATTGCCCAACCTTCCTTCCGAGGAGTGGCTGGTGGGTTTGAACCGCTAGCCTTCTGGTTAGCAGTCAAGTCTTAGGCACTATGCTACATTTTGGTATATTTCTTTCTAAATTTTATTTAACAGATAATTAATTGATAATTGATTCTGAAAAACTTGACATTATATAAATACAACTTTGTACCCTGTATTTTTCACTGAACTTTTTCCCATGGTTATTAGGGGTTTCTTCCCCCCAAAAAACATCCTTACTAGTGATATAATACTCCAGCCTATGGATGTAATGTGATTTACTTAACCTCTCCACATTGTTGGGCATTTAAGTTGCCTCTGGATTTTAATGTTTAAATGATAATGCATGTAAAAAAATCATAACATTACAGACAAACATGAAATGCCCTTCGATCACCAGCTCAAATCCTCATCCCCTCCTCCCTGCTCCAAAAATACATCCATCTGTTAAAATGAATTTCTAAAACAGAAGGAGAAAAAAAAAAAACATGTTGAAGTCTGAGCAGTAACATAGTTGCTGGCATGGAAATAGCTATGCCCGCATTGAAAGGAAGACAAAAGGACGCCATAAAAATCCTTCTATGGTGATCTGGGTAAGTCTCCAATGCTTTCTTTTAGGTTAAATACTTGGAGAAGTAGAATTATGGAGTCAAAGGATTATGAACCCTTGAAGCCCAAATTTCTGACTGCCAAACTGCTTCCCAGACTGTAGCAATCTACAGGCACACCCATCCACAGTATAATTCTAAGAACAGAATATTTTTCGATTTACTTTGATTTTAAAAATATCTGCCATATGGAACATTTCTCCTTTTTCTGAGGAGTGGGGCGGATGCTGTGAAATCAAACAATAACAGTGTGTCACACATCTGAAAGGAGGGACAGCTATTCACGAGAGGATGGTGGACGTACAAGCATGCCACCTTAAGACTCCTTTGCATATGCTTTAAATAAGGGCACCTGGAACACACTTTATGGTTCACCCTCCCCCTGAGGAGCTCTGAGGCAAGGGAATCACATGTCTTCTTCTTTCCCCACCTCCTAGCCCCACCCCATCCACAACAGACTCACTACGGCCTGAACACAAGTTGACAAAAACTTGCTGACAGAAACACAGGTATAAATGCACAGGTCACAACAGGATTGTCAAAATCTGTGCCCCCATTCAGTGATCTGGCACAAATAGCTAACCTTGTCAACACCCTACTGTGAGATGCAAGACGCTCATCAAGGCATGAGCTTGACCCTCAGTTTCTCCGTATGTACGTGGAGAAAAACTAGCAACCACAACTCACTCCCCAGTCTCCACAGATCCCCAGCAGTACCAACACTGCTCACCTCTGCTTTCTTCCCACTCGTCCCACCTCCCCCTACCCCTAAGGATTACTAGCTCAGACGTGCACAAGCCAGTTTCCCCTTTGCTTGACTAAAAGACTAGATTTTTTTTTCACTTATTTTTTCCTATCTCTATTTTTCTAAAATAGATTTTATTTCTGGGAGGAGCTTTAGGTCTGCAGAGAAACTATACAAAAAGGACGCAGAGCTCCACTATGTCCCCTCCCACCGGCACTGTTTCTCCTATGAACATCTTGCATTCCTGTGATACATTTGTTCTAATTGTTGATGCATCATGATTAACTGAAGTCTACAGTGTACATTAGGGCTCACTCTTTGTGTTGTACAGTCCTCTGGGTTTTTGACAATTGTCTAATGTCATGTACCCACCATTACACTGTCACATACAGAAAAATTTCACCTCCCTAAAAATGCCCTGTGCACTACCCATTCATCTCTTCTCACTTCCACTGAAGCCCTGGCTAGAATTTTTCAAGAAGAATTCCACTAAGAAGCTGGGAGGGGGGGACACAGCTAAAATTTTAAACAAAAGAAATACAAAAGCACAGAAGCTTTCAAAGTACCTTCCAAGAACTAAAGGCTAGCTGCAGATTGACTTCCTAATGTCTTAGTCTTACAAGTCCCAGGTCCTTTTCTTCTATTACATTTGCCTTGGATGCTAAGTCAAGCTACGTGGGTTCCTAACTAACTTGAGAATAATTTAGGTAGACATTAATGATGGGTCTGGTGGACTCTGAGTCCCTCTTAGTCCTGACATCATCACCTTCCTTCCCAGGGTTACCTCCCAGGATATCCCCTTCTCTAGCCCTAGGATGTTCTCTGCTTCAACTCTCAAAGATACCCTGGTTCCTGGGGAGTGTGACACCTTATTTATGCTCCAAAGATTGCTACCCTGAGCTGTAAACTGCCCTATACTGATCCTGTAATTGCTGTGTTTATATCTCCTAGAATTCCCATGGTTCCTAGCATACCTGCTCCCCTCTCACCTGGCACATTCCCGTGAAGCAGTAATTCTTACTTGGGGTGGTGTATGAATGGGCTTTAGAAGAGCTATGAATCCCTGAAATTACAACCCAAATTGTGTGTATACACATGCAGACAAGAACATTTTTATGGGGAGACAGTTTACAGCTTTCATCAAAATCTCAAATGGGTTGGTAACTCCCCAAAAGTTAAAAAAAAAAAAAAACCACCATCCTCTTACGAACAATGCAGCAGATCTTGATAACAAATCCCTCCTGAAATGCAACCACCACACAGAAGAATTAAGTGCATGACTTTAGAATCTTGCTATACCTACCTTAACTCAATTCACAGCATGGTTATGATCTCAAATTCTGGATCTCAGAGGAAAAAGCTCAAAGTGATTGTTAATCTGTAATTACTATTCTGAATCCTTTCCCATACTGATTAAGGCCACTCACTACACAGCAGCTTACCAGCTAGTTAGGCAACTCACCTATCTCCATTTCTATGAAGGCTGCTTCATCTGGTAGAGCCCGAGGAATCACTCCAGGGTCACTAAAGCTGGTCCTCAACAATGTAGCCATGGAGAAAAGGAAGAGCAAGGCTGCAAACACGGGGATGGCAGGAGACAGCTGAACAGCCAGGTAGCGGCATCTGAAGAAAGCCGGCAGTTAACATTTAATTATATTACTCTATATCGATCTCTAATTGGTGCAAGAATGTCAATCTGGACTCCACAACAAAATCAGCAGAGCCTCAAGGGCCGGGATCATGCTTTTATTTCTCCTGATTCACCCACTTCCTAGCTTATGGTTCTGCACATAGTAGGAGCTCAACAAATACTTGATTGATTGATGCCACCTATAACATACTATGGAAGCTCTGGTAGTGTAGTGCCTAAGGCATTTGACTGCTAACCAGAAGGGTGGTGGTTCAAACCCACCAACCACTCCTCGGAAGGAAGGAAGACTGGGCAATCTACTTCCGTAGAGATACTGCCTCGGAAACCCAAGGAGGGGTTGCTATGAGTCGGATCCAACTCAACAGCAGTGAGTTTGGTTTGGTTTTTTTTTTTTTTTTTGGTTTGACACATGGTAAACACTAAGTCAATGCAGCTACTAACATTATTATGATTCTCTATCTCCCAGAGTCTAATACAAGTATGAGAACAAAGAAGCCATCAACAAACACTTGTTGTCTTGAACTGAATTCAAACCAAGTAAATGGGACTATGTGATGAGAGTTATCACTGGCCTATTTTTATTTTCCTCCTGAGGCATATTTTCTTCTCCATCAAAACAGAGATCTTCTTTGGAGGCAGACAGTAATTGCATGAGCAAGGACCAGAGGGAGAGCAGAGAAAGTAAGCTAAGAGATGAAGATGAAGCAAGCTGCTGTCCATTCAGAGTAGACAGCTAACTCTGCCTTTTATATTTGCTGCAGTTTTGAAACAATCCCCATGGGATCCTACCCCTGGCTCCCTGCCACACATACAACTGCATAAGGGGATGCAAATCAATTGTAATATTAGGCTAAGCAGTTTATTATGAAGGTGATCATATGTACTGCAACTGGAAAATTATTTTAGGGGTTGTTTTGTTGGCTTATGGAACTCTGGTGACACAGTGGTTAAAGCATTTGGCTGCTGACCAAAAGGTTGGTGGTTTGAACCCACCAGCTGCTCAGCAGGAGAAAGGTGAGGCAGTCTGCTTCCATAAAGATTTACAGCCTTGTCAACCCTATAGGGGTAGTTCTATAGGGTCCCATACGGTCACTATGAGTCAGAATCAACTCTGTGGCAGTGGGTTTTAGTTTTGCTTGCTTACTTGCTTGTTTTGAACCAAAACCATTGGTCTTAGCTTCCTTATTTTTACACTTATTTTTTAATGAATTACTTCCTTCTCCTAAAAGCCAAGGACAGGGGAAAACTTCCAAGAATTGAGGAATCTGGCCAGCAGAATTGAGGATAATGATGTTTCTGGCATATCACTAGCTTATGGATTATCCTCCTTCCATTGCTCCCCTTCACTGGTACATATATATAATCAAGAAATGAATTCAGAAACGAAAGTCACCTCCACTTATCAGAGACCCAAAGGACACAGGAGAAACATGAGGCTGCATTTTGCGAACAAGCCAAGTGAAATTACTGCACTAACATAAGGCAGTCATCTTTCTAGTCACTGCTCATCATTAAGCTCACTTTTGAAAACAAAGATGGATTTCAGGCTTCAAACTGTCCTAGGTCTACAGTCTCTAATCAAAAGTCTTAGAAAAAGCAGAGCTATCTGATTGGACACTAAGGGAGTGTAAACTTTTTTGATTAAAGGGAAAGGCTTGAGAGAGAGCAAAACAACCACAGAAAACCAAAACTAATGCTACCCCCATTCACAGAAGGACCCGAGCTTAACTCAATCCAGTTCCAACACCTGCTTCTAAGACCAGACAAAGGACAACTTAGATTTGGATTACGCTACTCCACCAAGGATAAAGATCTCTGTAATCTCTACACAGACTATCTTCTGCACCTGCTAAAACAATCCACTCTGTATGTCAACAAGCGCACAACAGGCCCATTGTCTTGTTCTCCAGAGATGAGGCTGCAGGCAGCCAGCTGTCACTAGTGAGTGGGTGGGACTTGGAAGGCAGATGTGGGACCAGCAGGCCTTTCTACTCTAAGGGAATTCAGAGAGGCAGAGGCTGACCGTTGTGAATGACAACCCATAGTGTCTGTCTTTATTAGTTATGATCAGAAATGCCTCCCTCAGGACAGTATAGAAAGAGTCTGTGACCTGCATGATGATACTGGGGAAAAGAAGGACACTGAAATGTGCACATAAGATACAGACAACAGAGACAAAGTATAGTATATGCACAATACTGCATGACCACTAACACCAAACACCAGACTACAGATAAATGCATAGACAGGTGAGAAGATCAGGGGGGTGTCAGCAAGCAGGAATACACCCTAGACCAAGGATAGATTTAGCTAAAGATAATCTCATATATGCACTTGTGCTACAAAACTAGCCACATACATTACAGAAGCAACAGAAGACAAAGTTGGAGTAACCTCTCAGAGACAACCATACACCTTGAGAGAGAGAATCACCAGGCCTGCTGACTCGGGACCATAGTCTCAAGGGACACCGAGCTCAACTGGCACAACATAGTACCCAAAAGTCTTGTTCCACAACCTACTTTAGTGAATAGCAACTAGGGTCTTAAAAGCTTTCAAGCAGCCATCTAAGATGCAACTATTGGTCTCTTCTCACCTGAAGCAAAGAAGAGTGAAGAAAATCAAAGCATCTGGAAACAATAAGTCCAAGGACATGATGGACCCCAAGACCAGAAGAACTAGATGGTGCCCAGCTACCAATGCCAACCACTCAGAAAGGGATCCAACCTGGAGATCCTGGATAGAGTGGGAGGAAAAATATGGAACAAAATCCAAAAACACAAAAATGACCAGAATTACTGGTCAGACCGAGTTTGGTGTAACCCCCAAGACTATGGCCCCAGGTTACCCTTTGGGCCTAGAACTGGACTCACTCCTATGGAGTGGCTCTCAGCCCAACAGCAGAAAGACCTACATGCAGAACACCTATCCCAAAGCAATGCACCCACATACTCTAGGGAGATACAGCCCTCAAAGCAATCAGCCATGGAGCATCAGAGGGACAGCATTCACGTGGAAGGAAAGCTGGACAGACAAGAGTGCATAGTTAAGAAGGACAGAGGGAAGGGGTAGTCACAGGGACAGGAGGGGAAGAGAGTTTGTTATGGTCAGGGATGGTAATCGGTGCATGAAACCAAATGCACACAAACTGCTGAATGTAAAACAAATTTTCCTCTGTAAATTTGCACCCAAAGCACAATAAAATTAAAAAGAAAAAAGAAATGCTTCTCTCAGGTTAGTCCCATTACAGTAAGCTGGTACAGAAACAAGCTATGTGACGATTTGGTGGCTGTTCCCAATACTGACCTCAAACATCATTAACTTGTCTTAGTGAACAACCAGATTTGTCAGCCACAAACGCAGCCAACTATTTTTGAAATCCCTTAGTACTTCCCATCTATATCACTTGTTGGAATAATGATATCCATACACTTCTTGAAACAAGGCTCTCCTTTGTCTTCAAAGTACCAAGAAGCCTCCTTCCTTCAGGAGGTCAGAAGTTTATTTTCTCCCTTATAATTTTACAAATGCAAACATATCCCCACTAAGCCTTCATTTCTACCACCTGAAGATACATCATCCTTTCAAGCCATCCTCTGCCAACTTCTTGACTGGCTTCAGGCTTCCATAGCTGGGCTAAATGACCAGACTTTCACATGTCCCCATGGGCCACATAGTGGTACTGACCAGATGTAACCAGCAATACCAGGCTGGGTCAGTGTGTCATGTCCCAACCCCCATCCCTAGCATGCTAGTTCATGGGAGGGACAATGATAATGCCACAGACTTTAAGTCACACACACACACACACACACACAAAAAAAAAAAAAAAAAACCTCAAAAGAGATTCATGAGTGAAGCTGGTAAGAAACCAGAGATTCCATAGTGGGGCCACGTGTCACAAACTGGCAGCTCAGATTGGTGTTCTGTAAAGTACTCTGCTTCTAAGTCTCCCTAATAAGCTTTCTTTCTATGTTTTTGTCTTCTTTCTTTTATTAGTGCAATCAATCAATCAACAAGTATTTATGGGCCTAACAAAGGAAGAATAAGAGTTGATTTTGTTGGGGAAAACATAATTAACACATCCAACAGCTAAAGAAAAAGATAAGGCCAATAATCAAGCATTTGAATGGTGATTCAGACTCTTAGTACTAAGTGGCCAGAGAACTCTCTTGGGGAGCTGGTGACTGCCTGAAAGTGCTCCAGTACCAGCAGTTGATGACTCTAAAGAAGAGCTATGCTTGGAACAGTGGGAAGGCCCAAGGATCAGAGCCCATGAGCCTCTGGTCTCACATGATAGAAACAGCATTTGATCTAAGTCTTCCCCAATACCATGGCTGTCCTTTTACACACTGCCTATCTCTAGAGCAAAGTAAACATGTAGAATCACCCAAAGGACTGTTTCAAGGTTCTTCGGCTAACTAACAAAGTCAGCTGAGAGGGAGGTTTCCTTGAACACTACAAACCTAGTTGAATATCAGCCTCCAGATTGGCAGATAGCTATATGAAGGTCAGAGGAAAATGCACGAGCCTGTTTGGCTCTGGTGGCGATGGGAAAAATGAATCAGAGACATTTCCAATTCTAAGGTGATGAGCCATTTCTCACAGAGGAGGTTCAAAACTTCTACCCAGGCAAAACTGCTCAGTAGTTGCCAAATTCCAAAGGGAATTAGAATACACTCCTGCTCTAGCACTCAGAACAGTTCCCTGCTGCTCCAAACTCCATGGGCCAATATTAGAGGCTCTCTATTAACTGATCTTACCTAATCGCTCGACAGAGCTCTGATGGTACAGTGCCTAAGGCATGTGACTGCTAACCAGAAGGTTGGTGGTTCAAACCCACCAGCCACTCTATGGAAGGATGATAGAGCAATCTATTTCTGTAAGGATTTACCACCTTAGAAACCCAACAGGGGTCACTATGAGTTGGAACTGACTCAATGACAGTGAGTTTTTTTGAGATCTATAATCA